AGCTTTGGAAGACAACATTTCCGAAGAAATTCGGGCTATTCCGGCCGAAATGCTCGAAAAAGTTGCCCAAAATTGGACTTTCCGAATGGACCACCTAAGACGCAGCCGCGGTCAACATTTAAATGAAATTATCTTCAAAAAGTAAATGTCATGGACCAATCTAACGTTTCAAATAAAGAACCGATGAGATTTTGCAAATTTTATGCGTTTTTTTTAAAAAAAAAGTTATCAAGCTCTTAAAAAATCACCATTTATATAGAAAACTTGTTTCTCAATTTTCCAAAGTTAGCTATTAAAGGTTTTGTTTTTGTTAATTGAAGTTAGAGAGCTTTTAAAACAATTAAAATATATTTAAATGGAAATATTTGTACGATCAAAATGCCTTTCTGGGGATTTTTGGGTATGAGCAATCCGAATCCGCACTTAGTTTTTACCGAAAACGGCCGCTGGATATGATTTAGTGCAAAAGCAACATGAAGAGACACTGTTTAGAAACATTGTTTGCATTTTCCTTGATGCTGCCTCCATGTTTTTTGCGTCATAGCGCGCCCAGCGGCCGTTCGCCAAATATAAATTGCAAATTCAGATCCCTCAGATCCCAAAACCCTTAGAAATGCCTTTTGATTTTATACTTTTTGGCATTTTCTTCCCATCTCCCAACTTTTTTACAGAAAAAAATCGAAATAGAAGACCCCTATTTTTTATATTATATAAAATCAACAAAATAACTTAACTGTTTTGAATTCTGATATTGTTAACGCATGGAAACTTAGCTGCTTCATTCGACTGAAGGCGCTGAAGACAACAAGTCAGGGACATGGAGGACTTAGGAAGATTGGCTGCAATTTAGTTTGGCATCCCGGAGTTCCGCATTAAGGTAGCTATGGAACGATAGAGGGAGTTCTCCTGATGGCAAATATATATACTTTTAGCCGCAGCAGGCCTCTAGTTTTTAAGTTATTTGTTGTTAAAGTTTGTAAATTGAACTAACCTCTCGGCGCTATTTCACACAATAAACACATTATTTATGTACACACTCCTCAAAATAGTTGCATTAAAACCCCGGCCTGAGATTTCCACTTTAATATACAATTCTTAATTAATTAATTAAGTAAAACGCGTTTATAAATGTCTTCACAAACGTTTTCACATTTCACAAACAATCTGAAATAACAATGGCTGACAGTAACACAAAATGTATGCTACCATACGTTAAAAAAATACACAAATAAGTGTGTATAATTAGGAAGTATAAGTGTACAATACGTACATATATTGCTCTTATTAAAAATAATAATATTAGGATCGATAGGGGTCTTACTCCTGATCATAACGGTATTATTTTTTTCGGGTGGAAATAATATTTACTGGTGTTATTGTAGTTCAAAGTACACAAATGTAGAAAACGTACATCGTTAATTTGATAAATAATGAAAATTTTTAATAAAAAATCGCGCGATTTTTTATTACAAATTTTCGCCTGCGGCGCTTTTTCCATAAAAATCAGTACTTCGATAAATAATGAAAATTTTTAATAAAAAACCGCGCGATTTTTTATTAAAAATTTTCGCCTGCACTGCTTTTTCCATAAAAATCAATACTTCGATAAATAATAAAAATTTTTAATAAAAAATCGCGCGATTTTTTATTAAAAATTTTCGTCTGCGGCGCTTTTGCCATAAAAATCAATACTTCGATAAATAATGAAAATTTTAATCGCGCGATTTTTTATTACAAATTTTCCGCTGCGGCGCTTTTTCCATAAAAATCAATACTTCGATAAATAATGAAAATTTTTAATAAAAAATCGCGCGATTTTTTATAAAAAATTTTCGCCTGCGGCGCTTGTCAGTTTTACTACTAATTCAACGCTGAGCAGGAAAATGGGTACGATAAAAACTATTCTCTTTTATTGTTATTTTCTTAGATGTGGCTGCACTCTTCTAATGTCAGTGTGAAACCATGGTTGAATCAACGGTTCTGTATTCACAATGTGCGTGTACATATATAAGTGATAATTATTAAAACTTACTTAATTTACTAAAAATACATCATAAATGTAAAAAATGTTTACATTTCATTGTGCGGGGTTTTAATGTAACTATTTTGCCGAAGTGTCTACATAAATATAGGGTTTATTGTATGAAATAGCGCCGAGAGGTTAGTTCAATTTACAAACTTTAACAACAAATAACTTAAAAACTATAAGCCTCCTGCGGCTAAAGGTATATATATTTGCAATCAGGAGAACTCCCCCTACCCCCCCATAGCCACCTTTTTTTTGTACGCGGGGGATGCCAAACTAAAATTTTCCCGGAAGATTATCAAAGGATCCTCACCCAATAAATCTTCAGACAAAGGGGACACTGTAAGAATAAGATAACTCAGCACAGCTTATTCTTATTAACCCTTCTTTAATGTCTTTTCGCTTCAAATCCTTTTTCACAATGAGAATTGCCACTTGACCTTACCTATGGAGATGCGGATTGTGCCACAAATCTATAATATGTATGAACTATGTGTGCAAGAGATGCAACGTTGCACTACATACAAATTGTTTTGGATTCTTCCTAGGGACCGAACATAACAGTCTTTGATGAAAACTGTCATGGAAAACTTCACTATGAAGGAAATGTTGTACAACAAAGTGAAACGTACCAATCGATTTCTTTTTGCACCGAGATTCAAAATAGAAAATAAACTTTTATTTGCAATTAGTATGCAAAATTTAAAAAAATAACTATTATTTTCGATTATTATATTATAAATCCAAACTAACAATTATTTTTGATTTTTGTTTTATATGTCTTAGATAACAGTTATTGAAGAGTTTTATTTATAAAAGTCATCAATAAAAATCACCAAAGATTTTTAATTTTAAAAGTCATCAATATAAATCAGTCACCGGCTTTTATTTTTTAAATCAATCAAATAAAAGTCATTAACATTTTTCGCAGTTTAGAAGGTGTTGTGAAAGAAAAGTATACTACGTCTTAAAGATCAGTGACTGATTTTTATTTATGACTTTTATAAATAAAAGTCTTCGATAACAGTTATCTAAGACATATAATTAAAAAATCAAAAATAACTGTTATTTGCAGATTATTTAAATAAAAATAAAAAATAATTATTGTTTTCCAATTTATAAAATAAAGGTCAGACATAACGGCTATTTAAAGAGAAATTAAATAAAAGTCAAAATATAATTGTTAAAGAGCGATTTTTTTATAAAAGTTGTAACTGTTACGGTCCCTGGTTCTACAATTTAAAATACATAGCGAGCTCAATGAATACTTTGCTTCGTATATTTTCATAAAAGCGTTTAAAAAAAATGGTCCTTAAAAATAGTAAGCTCTATAAGGAAGCAGCCACGAGATGTATATGCAAAATAAATAAAACAAAAATGCGGATAGACCCCGTGTTCGTTTAATCGAACAGCTAATATCTCGAAAACTAAAAGTCGCAAATTTGTTTTTTACCACAAAATGCAAGTTTGATTAATCAATTTTACCTTAGTATGGAAATTTCATCAAGATATTCGAACAAAAAATTGTCGGGCTGATATGGGTTAAAACAAAAATCGGGCTACACTAGTCGGAGTTAACGTCCATTGTAATTGAAATCAATGAGATCTCGCGTAAATTGAGAGTTATATGTTTTTGGTTATTCTGGCAGTCACGTATGGGCGAGAATACTGTTTAATTTCAAATAAGTGCTTATCTATTTAAAATAGTCAACATTTACTTCTGGGCTTATTCCACTTACACGTCATTTATCTTTACATCAAAGCAAACAGCTTAAACTCTAATTACACAATGGTAATGTTAGATTGGTTGATAAAAAAAATCATTTGAGATAATTTAATTGCATCTAAGCAAACGCTTGTAAATACTAAGTACATACACTGCCGGAAAAAAATATTGGCACAGCGAATTTTGTCACAATATATGCATCAATTTCATTTCTAATATTTTTCCGCCAATTTTTCATAAAAATATGGGCCATTCTACAACAAAACACACAAAAATATATTTTCCAAACTTTTTGCAAAACTCGCGAAAATTCAATAAATATTCAAGCAAATTTTCAACTTTTTCATCTAATTTTTCTGAATTTTCTTGAGTATGCAGTTTTTAGCCCATTAAATTCTAGTTCTAAAAATGCAAGTTTCGAGTAAGTCAAAAATCGCACTGATTTTTGAGAATTTTTTTGTTGAAGGTGTTTTGCATTTTTTCCATAAAAATTATTTTCGAAATTTTTTTTTTATGGGAGAGACCGCGTGAAAAAATTGCCAAAAATCAACGGTAATTCGTAGCTACTTAGAATACCCAAAAAAATTCTAAAAAAACTGATTGAAATGTTGAAAATTTGCATGAAAATTTGCTGAATTTTCGCAAGTTTTGCACAAAGTTTAGAAATTAAATTTTTATGTTTTTTTGTTGTGGAATTAAACATACTTTTATAAAAAAAAATTTGGAAAAATATTACAATAAAAACTGTTGCATATATTGTTTAAAAAAACAGCTGTGCCAATACTTTTTGCCGGCAGTGTACATATATATGTATATTTTAGTATAAATTAATTGCAAAGTTCATTACAAAAGGTCAGTTGCTGCAGCCGAGGCATGGAAGTCGTGTGAAAGACAGAAGCTATAGTGAAACGTGTTAGCAAGGAAAAGCTATTAAAATAAAAGGACGAAGCCTTGTTGGACCTGTGAAATCATTCAAAAAATATAACAAAGAGTGTCAAAACTATTTAATCTTCACTAGACAAACCTAAAAGTTTAAAATATTTACAAAACTTCTCCTGAAAAAAAAGCAATAAAAAGTACATACAATACAACTCCAGCCAAATTTGATGCTCCACAATGCTTTTATTTTTCTTACTTTTGACCGCAATCGTCTCCCTTTTGGTCACCTATCTTCAATACAAATATCAATACTGGGCAAGAAAAGGGGTGCCCCAAACGAGTTTAAACTTTCTTGAAAACATATGTCTAATGCGCACCACACATAATTTAGATTTTTATCGCGAAGTCTATCGACATTTTCGTGGCAAGTCAAAATTTGGCGGCACTTATATCTTCGCTAAACCAATACTCGTTCTACTCGATCTTGATTTGATCAAACAAGTACTAATTAAAGATTTCAATACATTTCCGGATCGTTTCGAATATATACCCGATAATAATATTATCAATGGTAATCTCTTTAAAGTGAACGCCGAGAGATGGCGTCCTTTGCGTACGAAAATTACACCTACATTCACATCGGCGAAAATGAAGTTTATGTTTCCAACATTGGTAACGGTGGCAAAGCAATTGGATGTAGCCTTTGGCAAACACTTGGAAAATACACCAGATGGTACCCTTAATATATACGAAATGATGACACGCTTCACTGTGGATGTAATCGGCCAGGTTGGCTTTGGTGTTGTATGTAACAGCTTGGAGGATCCCAATACAGAGTTTCTTCGCGTCGGACATATTAATTTCTTTCAAAATCATAAATCCATAAGGCTACGCATTTTGATGACAACATATCCTGTGCTATTTAAATTGCTGCATTTTCTCAACATCAGACGCGTACCAGACGAGGTTGAAAAGTTTATGTTGCGTCTGGTTCGCGATACTGCTCATATACGTGAGGAGCAGAAAATTCAGCGTAACGATTTCATGAATTTAATGATTGAAATGAAGAATACAAAGGACGAAAACGGTAAACCTATGTTGACTTACGAAGAGATGGCTGCACAGGTATTCATATTTTTTGCTGGTGGATATGAGACTAGTTCGAGTAATTTGACTTATGCGCTCTATGAGTTGGCAAAGAATCAGCATGTGCAAGACAAATTGAGAGCTGAAATCAATAGCGTCTTGGCAAAACACAACGGAGAGCTGACATACGAAGCAATGGATCAAATGACCTACTTGTATCAAGTTATGTCAGGTGAGTTGGATAAAAAAAAAGCTAAATGCGGGAAGTGAGTTTGTTAGCATTAGTAATAATTCCTGTACCACACTACCACCACAATATTGGCCGTGTTGATTTGTGTAGGCAATTACTGCGGATTGCGGATCTTATAATTTTTTTTAGTAGGATATAGGTTTCAGAGACTGAAAAACGTGGCTCATAGATTCCTTTCGCAAAGTTGATATTCTTAATAATTCCAAAATCCCGACGGTTGTATACTTCGATCACTTGAACTTTACACACCATAACATAACATAACACTGGGCTGTGTGGTTTTTAATTGATCAAATTAATAAATCAATTTTATTCGCGAAGTCCAGAGCTGGGTCGTAATGATTTCTTTAGGAATTTAATTACTCCCAATTACAAATTACAAGGAATTGTAATTAGGAATTCCTTCAGTCCACAGCAAAGGAAGTAAATAAGTAGAAGTAATATAAAATGTAATTGTTTTTTTTTTTTGATTCCATTACAAGGAATTTTCATATTGTAATATATCTATGAATATCTATATACATACATGTAACTAGTATACATAAAAATGTTGTTCGTTTGTACGAGGCCTCAACATTCTGAACAGATTTGTATATCTTTTTTTTAATTGTTCGTTACAATACCAGTACACAAATTTGGAGGGTTGCCACCTGTTTGAAAATTTTAAACTAAATCAAATTAATAAAATTAACAAAATATTGCAATGTGGGTATCAAATTAAAGAAGTATAAGAAAGATAACCGTTGGAGACATTCTGAGGAGTGTTGCCACCTATTTGAAAATTGCATTTCAGTTGAATTGATAAGATAAAGGAAATGTTGTAATGTGGGTGTCAAACTAGAGAGTTTTAAGAAGGCTTACAGTCAATAATATTTAAGAATAGCGGTGCCACCTGTTTGCAAATTTAACTCAATTAAATTGACAAAATAAATAAAGATTGAAAATATTTAAAATAAATGAAACAGTACATAATAGATGCCAAACAAAAAGTGTTTGGTGAAGCTTTGCTAGACAATTTTTCCTAAATGTTTCCACCTATCCAAAAGCCGAACAGTTATAATGAAGAAAAAATTTACAACATTTTATCAAACGAAATGATCATATTATCAACGAAGAGT